TACATGAGGCCAACAAACATATGAAAAAATGCTCATCATCACTGGTCGAGATATGCAAATCAAAACTACATTGAGATACCATCTCACGCCAGTTAGAATGGTAATCATTAAAAAATCTGGAGACAACAGATGCTGGAGAGGATGTGGAGAAATAGGAACACTTTTATACTGTTAGTGGGAGTGTCAATTAGTTCAACCATTGTGGAAGACAGTGTGGCGATTCCTCAAGGACCTAGAAATAGAAATTCCATTTGACCCAGCAATCCCATTACTGGGTATATATCCAAAGGATTATAAATCGTTCTACTATAAGGACACATGCACACGAATGTTCATTGCAGCACTGTTTACAATAGCAAAGACCTGGAACCAGCCCAAATGCCCATCGATGACAAACTGGACAGGGAAAATGTGGCGCATATATACCATGGAATACTATGCAGCCATAAAAAACGATGAGGTCGTGTCCTTTGTAGGGACATGGATGAACCTGGAAACCATTATTCTCAGGAAACTGACACAGAACAGAAAATCAAACGCCGCATGTTCTCACTCATAGGTGGGTGTTGAACAATGAGAACACATGGACACAGGGAGGGGAGCATCACACACTGGGGTCAGTTGGGGGAAATAGGAGAGGGACAGTGGGGGCTGGGGAGCTGGGGAGAGAGAGCATGGGGAAAAATGCCAGATTTAGGTGATGGGGAGGAATGCACAAAATCACACTGCCATGTATGTACCTATGCAACAATCTTGCATGTTCTTCACATGTACCCCAAAACCTAAAATGCAATTAAAAAAAAATAAGAAAACAGGAAATGTTCTAGTGACTATGCTGTTGGGAAATACTTCTTAAGCAGGGCCCCAAATTCACCAATTATAAAATAAAAAATTAGTAAATTTGACTTCATTAACATTAATAATTCCTATTCTTCAAAAGACAATATTAAAACAGAAATAAGGCAAGATACAAACTGGAAGAAGATATGTGTACCACACTTTCCACACCAGGCTGGTCCCCAGAACACACAGAGAACCATAGGTAACCATAAGAACCAGGCTAATGATCCAACAAAAATGTTCAAAAATCGGATACTTCACAAAAAATGACATCTGAGCAGCCAATAAGTATGCAATGTATTCAGATTTCTCATCAGGAAGATGTCCTGAAAACCATATGAGACCACTCCACCCATGTAGTGACTGTGACTTTGATATTCTGTGTTCTGATGCTTTGACACCTGTGGCCTTGCCGAGCCTGGAGAGACCGCCTCTCTCAGGGTCGACCAATCCATGGAGACAGGAAATGACTCGCCTTGGGCTCTGAGCTTGCCCTCAGCTCACCTTTCAAATGCAAACCACCCAGTCCACTGTCCACACTCAGGACCTATCCCCCAGGGCCAGGACCAGACAAGCAGGGGCCAGCCTGTGTCCAAGAGCCCGAAATTATTCAAAAACAAATCAGCCCTACACCTGCTCACTCACCTCACCATTAATTCCCATGGGAACCACAATGGAGATGCCTGCCCACGGGCCCCACTCACTCTGCCTCCTGGCTGACCTGGGGCATTCCCGTGTGGCCCTGTGTGGAGTGGGGACTGTGAGTAACACACTTTCTTTTCTGTGGCACTCTGACCTGACTACACCTGGGCACCACAAGGGAGGGCTTTCTGCTAGGCCCCAGCCTCTCCCAACCACCCGAGCCCACTCACCCTCTGGAGTCCCCGCCGCTGGACTCACTGGGCTGGCTGCCTTGCTGGGGGCTGCTCAGGAAAGACAGGCTCCGCCCCAGCCGCATCACCTGCAGAAACTTCCAGGGCTTCTTTGTGCCCTGAACCTCTGAAGAAAGCAGAGGAATGGTTTCTGAGCCCTGTGGGGGACAGAGCTGGGTTCCTCAGGCTGGGGGCGGCAGCTCACCTTTGGGAGACACGAAGCTTGCCTTGCCCTTGATCCCTGGTCCTGCAGGAAGCAAAAGGGAGACCTGATGGCCTCAGCTGCAGTTAAGCTTCTGCGACGCCACGTGGCCCAGATGCCTGCAGGGCCACTGGCAGAGCCCATCTGGGAACCTGCATTCTCTTTTCTGCTACCTTTGTCCCCTGGTGTGGTGTTAACACTGCTCTCTTCCTTGGAAGCCTCGGAGACCTCCTTGGCCTTTTTGAGAGACAAGCGTTTCTTCTCCTGTTCTTCAAGCCACTCCTTGGGCGACAGCTTGTATAGGAAATCCTTGTAGACCTTGTATTGCTGCAGAGTGTCTTCAAATCTGGAGATCTCACTACACCGTGGGGAAGGAGGAGGTCAACCTCTGCCACAGTGAGGTCACCATGCCAGGGCCACCCCTTTGTTCTGGCCAAGCCTCTGTGGGTGGGCTCCTTGTTTTCCTGGAGAAAATGTGCAGGAATGCCACATGCTGGAAGAAGGGCATCCACCCTGCAACGACCCAGAGTCATGGCCCTCTGTGACTTGCGAGTTCCTCTCCACCCTGGAGACTACACCTCTCTTAGGCTATTGCCAGGCAAGCCTTTGAGCCAAGCCGCCCATCTCCAAGTGGAAGCCATGGGAGTCACTGAATCTTAGTTTCAGTCCCCTCATCTATAAATGGGCAACAGCCTCCTGGGAGCACTGAGTCCCTGGGAGGTAAAGCCATGAGATTGGCATGATGGTATGCTCCCTTTGGCTAGGCAAAATGACTGAGTGACCAGAAGGTGGGCCAACCCATAGCCAGCATGCCCTCTGACCTCACCTTTTGATATTAACAATCTGGGTGGTGAGGTCTCGGATCTCGAGGATCTTCTCCATCTTGGCTTTGGTCTCCTTCTCAGCCCTAGGGGTTGGGGGTGTGGGGGCAGGGGGCCAGTGGCAGCCTATTAAAGAGAAGTGAGCACACCGCCCACAGGCCTCGGGACTGGCCGTGGCTCCAGACAGGGCTGGAGAGCCACACAGTTAAGCCTTTTGCCCATAGTGTCCCCTGCCTTTGACACCTGACCGGCCCTGGTGCTTCCACGGGAGTTGCAGGGTCTGCGGGCAGAGGCTGGGTGAGGGGGTGGATGGGTGGGTGTGCACAGGCTCAGGGACAATGGGGGTACAGCGTTGCCCAGCCAGCCCCTTGGGCCTGCGGGCTCACGCTTTCATGGCCTGCACCGAGCTGCGGTCGTTCTCTCTGAGGAACTCGTCGAATAAGACGGCGTCCTTCTCCAGGGACTTCTCGGCCCGCTCCAGCCTGGACTCCTCCTTGGTCAGCAGCAGCTCCAGCCACTGGATCTCCTTCCGCTTGACATCCAGGGCATACTGAGGGCCAGCAGAGCGGGGTCATGGTGCCTGTCCCAGGACAGCCCCTGCTGGCATCCCTCGCTTTGGGGGCTGCAGAGCCTACCTGGAGGAGGAACAGCTGCCGCTTCTGCTTAATGTAGCCGCACATGTTCTCAGGCTTCAAGTTCTTTTCTGCAGGAAGAAGGGGGAGGTGAGCAGGAGCAGGAAGCCCAGTCTGAGGAGAGGCCCGGCAGGTCTGCAAAGGAGCCTTCCGCCAGCTGCTGGGCACTGCTCTGCGTCCACACCCAGGTGACTACCAGGACCGTGGAAGGTAGTGTACTTGTCCTCTGTCTCCACAAAAGGAGAGAAGTTTCTTCCTGAAATATTACAATTAACATGGCTGGAGGCCGGCCGGGTGGGAAGCCCTTAATGTGTCTGACTTGGGCCTCTCTTGCTGTAGCACTATTCTCACTTGCAATGAGGCTCTGGACCCCTCACCCGGGAAATTTCACCCAGCTGGACATAATAGTCACAGGCCTCCTAACCAGGGCCCGAATGCAGATGAGGAGAGAAAAATGGGGAGGCAAAATTGTGACTTGGGGCACCCTAAGCCCCCCAAGCAAACTGGGCAGAGGCTGCGTCTACATTGCCAGGGTTTAAACCAGGCAGGAGGAAGTCGAAGTGGACGTCTGGATAACATTTAGGAGAGCATGCTGGGGCCAAGGGCCATGGGGGCCCCTTTCTCTGGCCTTTCTGGAGTGGAAGTTCTAGGCGCTCCCTGACTTGGGAGCTGTGGAAAGGACCTGGAAGCCATGGGGCTCTCTGGCCCTGCCTCTCACACCCTTTCCTCTCCAGGAGCAGAGCCCTGTTTGGCTGGTACAAGAGCTGTTCCCAGAGTCCAGATCCAGGCAGAGGCTCTGGCTGGGCCTCCCTGGGTAGCCACGGAGATGTCCTACCCTGCAGGAGACCCAGTTCCTCACTAGGAGTCACAGTCCTGCCCCCCCAGTCTCTTGCCTCTCCTCCAGGTCTTAGGAATGAGGGTGGAGGCAGGAACAAGAATGGGCCATGCCGTCTCCCTGTCTACCCCCATTCCCTGGCCTGCCCCTCCAACTATGGGGCCGAAACAACCCCGCAAGCTCAAGGTTCAGCTACCCAGGTGGAGGCTGGAGGCCCTTGTGTGTTTCAGAGTCACATGGTACACCTCTAATCCTCTGTGTGCCAGGACTCTCTGGTTCCACCGCTTCTCACTTTGTAATATACTTCATCATCTGGGTTGATAGAATATTAATACATATTCAGTACTTAAGATTTCCAACGCTCACACACATACATAGTTCTTTCCTACTACTGCCAATGTATTAGTATACATTTAACCCCCACAGTCCATGAGGCTGATACTGTTGTCAGCCAGGAAAGGAAACTGAGCTGCAAAGGGCTCCAGTGACCTAGGTATGACCACAAAGCTGTGAAATGCTGCAGCTTCTGCCGCCGCCAAAGCCAGGAAAGCTAGCTCCAGCTCCATTCTCCTTCTTAGGAAGTTAAGCCGTCCACACTTGTATACTGTGCAGCCTCTGGCCACTGCGTGCTGCCCACATTCCGAACCACTCAACACAGCAGCCTCCCCTATCCAGGGCCATGTGTTCCAAGACCTCCAGGACATGCCTGAACCCTATCCTAGGTTTCTTCCTACATATATAGCTACCTATGATGAAGCTGCATTACTTATGAATTAGGCACAGTAAGAGATAAACAACAGTGACTACTAATAAAAATAGAACAATCAAAACAATATACTGTAATAAAAGTTAGTATGTGTTGTACTCACCTACTTTCAGCTCCGGTAACTAAAGCCAAGGGAAGAGAAACCCAGGATAAGGTGGGGAACTACCCTATTAGGACTGAACAGCTCTTAGGTTTGCAATCCTGGAATAGACCTTTGGTACCCCCCAGAAGGGGCCAAACACAGAAAAGGCCGGCCTTTCCGAAACACTTGAAAAGCACTTCCCATCTGCGCAAGGCGAGTGGCACGGAGGTTCCAGGCACGCCCCATGCGCTGGGGATGTGGGGCACCACTGGCCCCCCACCCCCACCCTGCGCCAGAGGGGCGCACCTTTGGTCAAGCTGAGCTTCCAGGCCATGTAGTCGCCGAGGGCGCGCAGACGCTCGGCCTCGGTATGCGCCTGCAGGTCCTCCTGCTCGTCCTCTAGCTGCAGCTGCCTCCGCAGGCTCGTGTGCTTAGCCGACACTTTAGAGGAGTAGGTCATCTTCTCGTGCACTCGTAGCTTCTTCTGCTGCTGTCGCTCCTGGGGGCGTCGGGCCAGGTTGGGCGGAACCCAGGCTCTTCAACCTGCCCCGCTGCCTCCCTGCGCGGTTCCCCACTCCAAGGGGTGGGCGGGCCCGAGGCCGGGGAGGCAGGTTTGCAGGCGCGGGAAGATGCCTGCGGAGATGCGGGGGGCCTGGACGCAGGCAGCTGCCCGGGGCTGAGAGCCAAGCGGGCAGGGCAGCTGTCAGGGAGGCCATTTGCCCAGAGAAGGGCGCCAGGCGGAGTCCTCAGGACAAACACAGACTGCACGGTCAGATGAGCACTCCAGATCCACAGAAGAGCCACACTCACCCGAAAAGATGTCTCATTTTATCTGAAATTCACATTTAACTGAGAGCGGTATATTCTGATGACCAACCCAGGGGAAGGGAACCTAGAGGCTCTGGGGTTCTCGAAGACTGCGGCTGTGTAGTAGGTCGCCTGTAGCCTGAAGGTCGCCGTTGGTGGCCCTCTCCACCTGTTCTCCACCCTACTCCAGCTCCTGTGGCCCGGAGGTGGCTTCTCGCCCAGCCGGGATGGCTGGACTTACCTCCCCATCCCCCCGCCCCGCATCCCTCCTGCTGTCCAGTTCTCAGGGTGGTGACATCCCCTGCCAGTTCTCCCCCCTCTTTTCTGTGCCCGCCCTGGGAGTCTCTTTATGTAGACTTTCTACGGTCACTTCTATTTCCTGCTGGCACCTGCCAGGTACACAAACAGCATCTAAGAACCCAGGCAAATGGGTCCAGCCTGAGGCCCCTAGAGTGCACATCCTGGCCACTGCAGTCAGGAAAATGTGACCCACTAGATTCTCAGGATACAAGATGGCCTTTAGAAGACATTGGGCAGCTGACTAAGGGCAGGGCCAGACTGAGGGGGACCCCGTTGGGAGGGGGAGGGTGTGAGTGGGGGACCCTGCTGGGTAGGGGAGGGTGTGGTTTGGTGACCCTGTTGAGTGACAGGGGGTGTGGGTTTGGTGACCCCGTTGGGTGGGTGAAGTTGGGGTTTGGTGACCCTGCTGGATATGGTGGAGAGAGTGTGTTGGGTGAGACTCAGGAGGCCCTGAGCTAGGGCTGGGCTTGAGTGTAGAGGAAAACCAAACGCCTCTTTGGAGAAGATATAGCAGGGTGGCCAAGGCATGGGTCAGAATCTCTGGGTCTCAGCTGGTCTGGGAATCACAGCCCACTGGCTTAGGGCTGAAGGGCCTGGTCTCTGATGTGGAGGCCTGGGCAGGGCTGAGGCCTGTACATCTCCACCCATGCCCCGCAGATGCCAGTGTGGCCGTTGCTGCCTGGGGAACCATGGCTGTGAGGAATCTCAGGGATGCTGAGCCCTGAGTCAGGGGGAGGTGGCTGGAGGCTGTGGGGCAGCACAGGTGTGACTCTGGGAAGGCCGCCACACCTGGCACATGGGGCAGGGCTGTGTGCCCATGCTTGCTCAGGCATGCTGGCGGCAGGAGGCGGTGGTCCCACTCAGGGCTCACAACTCTCAGGGCTGGAAATCAAGAGGACAGGCTGAGGTGAAGATGGGGCAGGGGTGGGGTCGGGGCTGGCCCAGGGACCCGAGGCACCTGGAGAAGCATGTGTGTGCATGCCGTGGGTGACTGTGTGTGTGGATCTGACCTGCAGGGGGTCCAGCCAGAGGGAGGGCACAAGGCCTGAGCAGTAGGGATTGCTTGTGGGACGGGAGAGGGCCTGTAAAGGCTGAGCTGGGTCTGGGAGGACCAGGAGAGTGTCAGGAGGGGATGGTGTTTCACGCAGGCAACAGTGGAAGCAGCAGCAAGGTGGCTGAGGCTGCGGCCACGGCAGCCCAAGATGTCTACCTAAGTCCCAGGAAGAGTGGTAAGAGACAGGGGAAGACAGTGGGATGCTGTGAGACCTGAGCCAGGTAGGCTTTCCAGCTGATTTTGTAGAAAGTCCTGAGCCACTGACTATTGTGGAGTGAGAAGGACCTGAGGAAAGTGCTCCTCTAAGAAAGACAATATGGCCACTCCAGGAAGCAGTGGGAACAGGGAAGCTCCTGGAGGTGCTGGTGGCTGTCCCAGATACTCACGGAGAGGGTCTTATTCCGCTGCTGATCTCTGAGCAAGAAAAAATCCACGTCCCCAGACAAGTGGAAAGGATTCGCCAAAGCGTCAGGGCCATGCTCTGGAAAGGGAGACACCTTACTGGTAAGGGGAGCCAGCTCTTCCAAGTGGTGGTGTCTGTCTTGGGGGCCCCACTGCCCTCCCAGCCCAGCATGGAAAAACATGAGTGGGAAGGTTCCCTTGGATGTAGCTGTGCCTAAAGTCCAACCCTGGACTTTCCAGCTCCATAAAGGCACCTCTGTAGTTTAACCTGGTTCACGCTGGCCTTCTGTCCTGGCCCCAGAAAGAGAGCTAGTGCGCACAGCCTTGGCACATACATCTGCGCTCAGTCTGCCCTCACTGCAGGGCTCTGGAGTCTCCCTCATGAAGGAGGGAGGCCAGACCTGCTGTTTGTCAATGATGGACCTGGTGACCAGGGCCTGCTGACACTGAGCTCATGGACCTTGCCCTGGGCCCTCTCTGTGAACTTGCATCTGTCTTTCTAGGGCTCTTCAGTCCTCCCGGGGAAGGCCAAGAACAAAGAGCTTCAAGCCTGAGGAGGGACCAGAGACCCAGAGAAAGTCATGTGAAGGTTTGTTTTGTAGGGTAGACTCTTGTCCTGCTCCTGATTCTCCACACTGACTACAATTCAGAGACAGAGCAGACGCCAGCAGCCTCCCTCTGAGCCTCAGGCAGCTAAGAAGTCAGGTGGAGAGGGTAAACTGAGCACATGGACTGCCTTCCCCTCCAACCCAACCCCAACACCCCAGAAATGTAATAAAATAAACGTAAAACTAGGAGAGCTCTGGAAGACGCGGGGGGGGGGGCGGTGACTCTGGTGTCACAGAAGTTGTTAGGAAGCTCTGGGAGAGGGCAGGCAGGTGGAATGGGGTAAGGAGGTGCAGCCTGGCACAGCTGCAGAGACAAGGGCGTGGAGGGCACTGGGGCACAAGCGGCTGGTGGAGGAACTGCCAGGAACCCACCTCACCTCCCCAACTCACACTTGCTCTCCCTCCCTGCTCCTGTCTAGCAACCCAGGGCAGAGGTGTTTGCCCTCAATTAGGAATCATGGGACCTGGTGCTTGATCAGAGGGATAGAAAAGTAAAATTCTTTATGCTCCCAAACTGCCCATGAGCACACATTAGCGGCCCGTCCTGTGTCCCCATCACAAAAACAAATGGATAGCTAGCAAGCACCCAGCACTTGCCATGGGCCAGACTGGGAATTTTCTGTGACTGAATGTTCCTGACCATCCAAGGAGGTGGAAATGATGGTTACCCTCATTTTACCTGTGATGAACTGAGGCTTGGAGCAATGAGATACTTTGCCAAGGTCCCATAGCTGTAAGTAGCTATGGGGAGACTGGCTTAACAAGACAAACACGAGGATGGATCCAAGATGGCCAATTAGGAGCAGCTCAGGATTGCAGCTCCCAGCAAAAGCACAGAGGGTGAGCGGATGCCACATTTCGAGATGGATTTTTATTGCCCATAGACCAGGAGATTCCAAGGTGGAGGAGCCCCACGGGTTGCCAGCGTGGCCAAGGATGTTTTGGCCAGTGCGGTGGGTCTCTGCACAAAATACACGTGCCTGGGAGCCATATTAGCTGGCGATTGGAGCTCCTGGGAGACAGAGTCGCCCATTGAACTGATAAAAAAAGGGGACTGAAACAGGGAGCCAGGCCAGGATATTCCTGGGCAAAAAAGCACCATGAATCTCAGCCTGGCTGTTTGAGCTGGTGCAGTGGGTCGCCACACGGGAAATCACACAGATCCCGGCGCCTTTTCAACAGGTGACTGGAATACCTGGGAGACAGAGTAGCCTGTTCAACAGGGAAAAAATAAAAGGGGGTCTAAGGCAGGGAGCCAGGTAATCAGGCTTGGTTGGTCCCACCCCCACAAAAAAACAGCAATCTGAAACGCTCTGGATTGAGAGTTTCACAGCAAGCACAGCTGAACCAGGGACAGTCCAGCTCTGTGGGGTAGAGGCGCCCACCATTACTGAGGCAGTCCACCACTACGGAGGTAGTCCGCCATTGCTGAGGCAGTCTGCCATTGCTGAGGCAACCCGTCATTACAGAGAGAGTCTGCCATTATAGAGGTGGGCGGCCATCGCTGGGGCAGTTCTAACTATACCTGTATAAATAGGATTGCAGGGAAGTTCACATGGCAGCTGGGCGGAACCCACAGCAGCTCAGCAAAGCCTCTGCAGGCAGACTATGACTAGGCTACCTCCTCACTGGGCAGGGCTGCCCTGAAAAAAGGCAACAGCACAACAGAAACTCATAAATAAAGCCTTAACTCACGGGGAGAGAGCACCTCAGGGGTGGGGGGTGGGGGGAAGCAATTATGAGTGCTGCTGCAGCAGACTTAAACAAACCTGCCCAACAGCTCTGAATGAACAACGGTGCTCAAAGCGCAGCACTTGAGCTCCTATAAAGGACAGACTGTCTCCTTAAGCAGCTCCCTGACCCCTATATATCCAAAGAGTCACCTCATAAAGGAGAGCTCAGACTGACATCTGGCGGGTATCCTTCTGGGACAAAGATAGCAGAAGAAGAAACTGGCAGCAATCCTTACTGTTCTGTAGCTGCTGCAGGCGATTCCCAGACAAGCAGGGTGGAGTGGACCTCAGCAGTCCTATAGCAGAGGGGCCTGACTGTTAGAAGGAAAACTAAGAAACAGAAAGAAATAACTTCATCATCAACAAACTGGACATCCACTCAGAGACCCAATCTGAAAGTCAACAACTACAAAGACGACAGGTGAATAAATCCACAAATATGGAAAGAAACCAGCGCAAAAAGGATGAAAACACCCAAAACCAGAATGCCTCTCCTCCTCCAAGGGATCACAACTCCTCACCAGCAAGGGAACAAGGCTGGATGGAGAAGGAGTTTGATGAATTGACAGAAACAGGCTTCAGAAGGTAGGTAATAAGAAACTCCTCTGAGCTAAAAGAATATGTTCTAACCTAATGTAAAGAAACTAAGAACCTTGAAAAAAGATTTGATGAAATGATAAGGAGAATAAACAGCTTAGAGAGGAATATAAGTGAATTGATGGAGCTGAAAAACACAACACGAAAACTGTAAGAAGCATATGCACGTTTCAACAGCCAAATTGACCAAGCAAAAAGGATATCAGAGGTCGAAGATCAACTCAATGTAATAAAATGAAAAGACAAGATTAGCGAAAAAAGGGTAAAAAGGAATGAACAAAGTCTCCAAGAAATATGGGACTATGTGAAAAGACCTAATCTATGTTTAACAGGTGTTCCTGAATGTGACAGACAGAATGAATCCAAGCTGGAAAATACTCTTCAGGATATCATCCAGGAAAACTTCCCAACCTAGCAAGGCAGGCCAATATTCAAGTCCAGGAAATACAGAGACCACCACAAAGATATTCTTCAAGAAGAGCAACCCCAAGGCACATAATCATCAGATTCACCAGGGTTGAAATGAAGGAGAAAATGCTAAGGGCAGCCAGAGAGAAAGGTCAGGTTACCCACAAAGGGAAGCACATCAGACTCACAGGTGACCTCTCAGCAGAAACCCTACAAGGCAGAAGAGAGTGGGGGACAACATTCAACATCCTTAAAGAAAAGAACTTTCAACCCGGAATTTCATATCCAGCCAAGCTAAGCTTCATATGTGAAGGAGAAATAAAATCCTTTAAGTACTACTCAGATATTTCATCACCACCAGGCCGGCTTTACAAGAGCTCCTGATAGAAGCACGAAACATAGAAAGGAACAATCAGTACCAGACACTTCAAAAAAAAATACCTAACGGTAAAGAACATCAACACAATGAAGAAACTGCATCAACTAACGGGCAAAACAGCCAGCTAGCATCAAAATGGCATGATCAAATTCACACATAACAATGTTAACCCTAAATGTAAATGGGCTAAACGTCCCAAACAAAAGACACAGACTGGCAAATTGGATAAAAAGCTAAAACCCATTGGTGTGCTGGATCCAGGAAACCCATCTCACATGCAAGGATACACAAAGGCTCAAAATAAAGAGATGGAGGAAGATTTACCAAGCAAATGGAGAGAGAAAAAAAAAAAAAGCAGGAGTTGCAATTCTCATCTCTGATAAAATAGACTTTAAACCAACAAAGTTGTCTCAAAAGAGACAAAGAAGGACATTACACAATGGCAAAAGGATCAATGCAACAAGAAGAGCTAACGATCCTAAGTATATATGTACCCAATACAGGAGCACCCAGATACATAAAGCAAGTTCTTAATGACTTACAAAGAGACTTAGACTCCCACACAATAATAGTGGGAGATATTAACACCCCATTGTCAATATTAGACAGATCGACAAGACAGAAAATTAACAAGGATATCCAGGACTTGAACTCAAACCTGGATCAAGCAAACCTAATAGACATTTACAGAACTCTCCACCCCAAATCCACAGAATATACATTCTTCTCAGCACCACATCACACCTACTCTAAAATTGACCACATAATTGGAAGTAAATCACTCCTCAGCAAATGCAAAAGAATGGAAATCGTAACAAACAGTCTCTCAGACCACACTGCAATCAAGTTAGAACTCAGAGTTCAGAAACTAACTCAGAACTGCACAGCTTCATGGAAACTGAACAACTGGCTCTTGAATTTTGACTGGATAAAAAATGAAATGAAGGCAGAAATAAACATGTTCTTTGAAACCAACAAGAACGAAGACACAACGTACCAAAATCTCTGGGATACATTTAAAGCAGTGTCTAGAGGAAAATATATAGCAATAAATGCCCACAGAGGAAGCAAGGAAAGATCTAAAATCGACACCCTATTATCAAAATTGAAAGAGCTAGAGGAGCAAGAGCAAAAAAACTCAAAACCTAGCAGAAGACAAGAAATAACTAAGATTAGAGCAGAACTGAAGGAGATAGAGACACAAAAAAACCCTTCAAAAAAAAATCAATAAATCCAGGAGCTGGTTTTTTGAAAAGATCAACAAAATAGACCACTAGCCAGATTAATAAAAAAGAAAAGAGAGAATAATCAAATACATGCAATAAAAAACGATAAAAGGGATATCACCACAGATTCCACAGAAACACAAACCATCATCAGAGATTATTACAAACAACTCTATGCACATAAACTAGTAAGCCTGGAAGAAATGGATAAATTCCTGGACACCTGCATCCTCCCAAGCTTAAACCAGGAAGAAGTGGAAACCCTGAATAGACCAATAACAAGGGCAGAAGTTGAGGCAGCAATTAAGAACCTACCACCCAAAAAAAGCCCAGATCCAGATGGGTTCACAGCCAAATTCTACCAGTCAAACAAAGAGGAGCTGGTACCATTCCTTCTGAAACTATTCCAAACAATCCAAAAAGAGGGAATCCTTCCCAAATCATTTTATGAGACCAACATCATCCTGATACCAAAACATTGCAGAGACCCAGCAAGAAAAGGAAACTTGAGGCCAATATCCATGATGAACATAGATGCAAAAATCTTCAGTAAAATACTGGCAAACCAACTGCAACAGCACATCAAAAAGCTTATCCACCATGATCAAGTAGGCCCCATCCTGGGGATGCAAGGCTGGTTCAACATATGCAAGTCCATAAACTTAATTCACCACATAAACAGAACCAAAGACAAAAACCACATGATTATCTCAATTGATGCAG